GGCCTACCTGGCTCTTTGCGCGCTTTTCGGCTGGGAATCGTGGTGGTATGAGTCCGGCCCACTCTGGGACCCAGGAGCCCTGCCGCTCCCGGAGAACTCCCTGCCTGGTCGCAAGGCGCGGGGGGCTGGGGGAGCCTGCTCGGCCGGCTCCGAGGGCCTGCTAGCCCCGCCCGTCTCCTGGGCCTCCCAGCGCCTAGAAACTCAGTCTGCAGTGTCCCATTTTATAATCTTCATAGCTCATGATATCCCTAGGTGGTGAGAACTACTTCTTCCTTATTCAACCCTTAGTTCACTATTTTCACCTAACCAGTACTGTCCCTCTCAAATTAGAGGAGAGCAAGCAGAGAGAGAGGAAAACTGCTTATTCATAGCCATTCATCAAATCAGCACTTGTGAGAAAAAAGGGGATGGCAGCAGAGGAGGGAGAGGTGAAAACAGAGAAGAAAGAAAATAAAAAGGAGGGGGGAGGGGAACTAGAAGAAAAAGAAAAAGGAAGAGGAGGGAGAAGAAGAAGAGGAGGAAGGGGAGAGGAGGATCAGGTAGAGAAGGAAAGCAAAAAAAGAAATTGAAATTAAAAAATGAAAAGAAAACAAAAGGGTTCTTCTTATCCCCCAAAACAGTAGCTTTTGCAGTGGTCCTTGCATGTCATGGTTGTAAAATTTCTCATTACCATTGTCACCTTCTTTAGCCAAGTGTCCTGACTGCTCCAAATGTCAGGTCATGGAGGTCATTTTCTGCTCTGCTGTTTCTATTTCAGTAACTCTCTTTTGTACTTGTATTTAGAACAAGTACGTCTGAAAAGCTTCTTACATTCAAGGAGGTAGAACAGAGACCAATTAAGAGACTTCATGGAATGTGAAAAAATATAACTGAGGTCATGATACTCAGGTCATTAAGGCGTCTTTATAGAGGTCATGACAATAAATTTAAGTGGTCTGTTTCTTTACCAGATAACTGTATAGTGCCTTCTTCTATTTGTCCTGAAGTTTTTGTGATGTAGGTTCATTATACAAAGTCCTGTGATACTGTTATTGTCTATTGTACACTAGAAAATGGCATTACTTTGCTGTGAGAGTGAAGTGAACTATGACAGCTATCTCCTGATGCTTAGGACATCTGGCTGAAAATAGCACTAACTATGAACAAGCCATAACCTATATGGTTATGTTCACTTAAAACTGCCAGGAAAACTGTTGGCCTAAAAGCTGCAATAGAACTGATAATCATTTAGTATGGGGTAAATGCAACATAAATTCCATTTACCCCAATTTTGTTTCACAACATTATATCATAAGTTTTGGGGGCTGTACTTGGTTGGTATTGAGTGTATTTCTATAATGTTCTGGTCAATTTAGGGTGAAGAAGATAGTGGAATTGTTTGTTGTCAAGGAATTTACATCCTACTGCCCAGAACAGGTAAAATAAGGTAGAACAATACAAAAATAAATAAATAAAATGGGATCATGATAGTGACTGGTTAAGGTTGGTGGAAGGGGTTGAGAAGCATCAATCACTGGTTAGGGAGGGTGGAGTGTTTGCACATTGTTGATCTCTGTAAAGTAAGTGTAGAGAGGGGTACTGTAAGACACAAAGCAGGGCAAATGCAGGGCCCTTAAATACAAAGGAATTGGTGTGTTCAAAGCTAAAGAACCCAATGTAGCTAGACAAGACTGAGCCAGAAGAGACTCACAGGAGGACATCAGAAGTACATGTGGGTACATTATCTCAACTCAGTGGGAAGTCATAAAGTTTAAATATGGTTTATTTCAGAACAACAGTAAATATCATCAGCAAATGAGTATGAATTTGTTTTTTTTTTTTTTTTTTTTTTGTTTTTTTTTTTCTCTGGTACCGGGAACCGAACTCATGACCTTACGCTTGCCAGGCAGGCGCTTTGCCGCTGAGCTAAATCCCCAGCCCCATGAGTATGAATTTGAGTTAGACCACAGTTTCAGTGATCGTGCAAGTTTAGTGCAATTTTCATTCACTTAGCTTCCAAATATGATAAATATCTGGTGGGAAAAGCCTTGGCTGAAATGCTAAGAGGTTCATTGTGAGCTCATTAAAATGGTTTGGCACTGAGTTTTTTCAACCCATCTCTGCCCACCCCAGCATTCTTAGGTGTGTCCCCCAAATGCTTCTGAAGAGATCTGAGTAAGAGAAAAGTTGAAACATTCAAGATAAAATGTTGATTGTACCATTATGTTGCTTTTGGAAATTATTTTCCACACTTCAAAAATACACTCTTAAAACTGTTGGAGAAAGGTTCAGAAAGGTGAACACATTTTCAGCCTTTCTTTGGGGTCTCCAACAAAGTTGGATATCGGTGGGTCTTGGGCATACGAATTCAAGTTTGTTCTTTGCTTATTTACTTACTTGCTTAAGCCAGGTCCTAGGAGTAACTGATGACCCACACCACCTGTTACTCTGAAAATGTAAGACTCATGCACTGAGGTAGGATTCACTTGCAATCTGAGAGAGAAAACTCGAGCATCTAAGGCAATTAACTGCCTGTCTCATTTTCTAGAGAACACAGTGCTACTTTACAAAGGGCTGCAAGAGATCTGAAATATCATCAAATGGTGAAAAATCAAAATATTTTGCTGTCATATGCTGTCACATACTGTCAGAAAGGCTTGTGGTATGACCACAGTCAAGTTGAATCCGATTAAAAGATCAGCAAACAAGGCAGGTTTAGGGGTATTTGACCTCATCAGCTCTGTGCCTGGAAGTACCTGTCAGCGCCTTGGTTGTCCTGTGCTGTGACACTACTGCTTATGCAGCCTGCCAATGGACATGCCTGATGACATCCTGCAGAGGAAACAACAGATTGATGTGCTCGGTTTGCTATTTTCAAACAGTGCTCAGTGCTGAAAAAATGGAGCTTAAATTTAATTCCAATTACCATTTCCAGGAACAATGAATTATTCAAGATAAACTGCCCAGTTTTACTGAAGCATGAGAGTAGTATGGTTGCTACTATCTATACATAAGTGGACTGAGATGGAGAAATTCAATTCGCTTATTCTAGTTTATTAGAACTCAGCTATGTTAGTGTTACACATTTCAAAGAGGCTTATCAATAATTGTGGAGTTGGGGTTGTGTAACACAAAAATTTACAGACTTTAACTATACAGGATGCTTATTTGTAATTTTTCAGACTACAGATGAAAATGTGATGTAAAACAAATAGCATTTTTTTTATTTTAAGAGCAAGGAAAAGAAACTCTGTAAGATGTGCAAGTGTAGATGTGTATGTATATGTGGATGTGTTCGGAAACAGGGTGGAAAGAAATAGAGTGATAGAAACTAGATTTTTTTTCTTTAATCTCTTTTGATATTGCATAGGGTGAGTAGTGATATTATAACACTGTTAGGAAAACTGATATTTGAGCTAGTTTTAAGAAAGAATAATGTCTTTTTCATGGGTGATTCATATGGAGAAAATATACACTTCATTTTCAGAAGCTCTGCCCCCCAAATTTTCATATATTAGCCTTAGGCAAAAACGAATTTTTTTTTGTCCTTGTTTAGAATTTCTGCGTTTCACAAGGAAAGAAAAAATCTTGCCTAGCTGAGCGTGACAGTATCCCCATCTGTGAGGAACTGCTCTGGAAGCACTGATGTAAGTCTAAAAATGTTTCCCTTTTCAAAAGTCCTCAATTTTTTAAGCAATCTTTTTTTCCCGAATTATAAAAATATATACAGAAAAGTGGACAAGTAATTAAAGTTGGATGGATTTTTATAACCCACATACTTTTGTGAGCAACATGCCAAAGAAGAATCAGTGTCCCTGTCCTGCTGAACCTCAGTCACTGCCTCACTTCCATGGTTTAGTTTGGCAGCTTTGTACTTTTTACCTGTGGAATCCAACTCTATGTCCTCTTGGTCTCTCATTTCTTTCCTCAATATTATGGCAAAGAAATGTATCCATTCCATGATGTTTAGCAGCATGGTTCATTTTACCTGCTATATAATATTCCACTAGTCAGTCATACAGAATCACACTTGATCTAGTCCATCTCGTTGATGGACTTTCAGGTTGGTTTGTTTGACTTTAATTGCAACTACTACTGTTACCATCCTCTATTCATGTTTCTTAATATATATTAACATATAACTATTGGGGGCAGAATCACTGTATCAGAGAACATGAATGTATTGATATTTGAGATTTAGGAACACTTTTATGGACAATTTGTTGAAAATAGTTGCACAATTTTACATTTTCAGTTAATACAATGTGCATTTCTCCATCCTTGCCAATATTTGGCTTGATTTATCTTTTAGGTCACCCATGTTGACAGGTTGAAGCACATTAGTTTATCAGTGAGGTTTTCATATGCTTATGTGATTGGGTGATGCATCCTTCCTTATCTGCTACTTGGATCTACTTTTTGTGAAGTATCTGCTCAAATCTTTTTTCTTTCTTAATTTACTTGTTTATTGTAGCTCAACTTCTCAATATTGCTCTTTGGTTTAGTGCATTTTGTGTCCCATTTAATACAATTTTGCCTACTCTCGAGTTGCAATGAAATTCTACCAGTTTTGAAGATCTGTTGTTTTCCTTTTCCTCTTTATTTCTTCAGTTTATCGGGAATTGGTTTGAGGTAGGCATTGCATATATCTTTATAAGATAGTATCCATTTGATGTGGAGCTACTTCAACAGTTCATTTTTATTTCCACTCTACTGAAATTTCCCTTTTGTCATAAATCAAGTCACCATATATTCATTCTGCTTCTGATCCTTTGTTTTGTTCTTCTAGTCTATTTTTTATGCTTGTGAAAATGAGGTGGTCATTTTTGTCTCTTCTGATCTATTTTGTCTTGAAGTCTGCTGTGTCTGAAAGTATGAAGGCTACTCCTACTTGCTTTTGAGCCTGGTTTCTGTTGACCCAATACTACCTCCTCTGGTTATCTTCCTGAATGAGTTAAAAACATGATACTGCAGTGATGCATGGATAGCTATGTTTACAGGAGCACAACTCAGAATAGCTACATTTTCGATGGACCCTGTATGGTCACTAACAGCTGAATGAATAAAGAAAATGTGATATATATATATATATATATATATATATACACACACAATTGAATACTGTAAAGAAGGATGTATTTGAGTCATTTGTAGGAAATTGGTGCATCTTGAGATCATAGTGCTAAGTGAAAGCAAATCAGACACATATGGTTAAATATTGCATGGTTTCTTTTATATGAAAAACCCAAAAGATAAATAATTTAAAGAGCACAAAAAGATGGATGGTAGAACACAGGTAGACAGACTTTATGGGGAGAGGAAGAGGGTGTGGAGGTGAAGGACACTGGGGTGCTGGGAGGGAAGAAGACATAAAAAGAGTAAATTCAGTGTGTATTTGTATCAATTCTCCAAGGTGAATGCAATTATTCTGCATCACAAACTAATGCTCATATGGAAAAACTAAAAAGTGAAGTATACGTATAAAGGAAAAACAGAAAATGCAACATTTTCTTGAAAACTAAACCAAAACAAAAACCTGATTATACTCTGTTGTTTGACAGTGTAACTCCTCTCATTTTATTATTTTAAGGTTTTCTTTGTTATTTTCATTTTTTGAATTACCATATATATTTTTAAATGCTATTAATTTCCACACAAAATCATTATGATTTTCTTTGGGATGATATTGAATCTACAAGTGAATGTAAGAAGAATTATTAAGTTAATTTTATGAAGGATTTCATGTATTAAATTAAAGCATTATTCCATTTTTCAAAAATTATACATATCTCAATAGTTTGTTGGAGTTTAGAAGTCTCACATTTTTATTATATTTTTTCCTGAATATTTGATTTTTTTGTTATAAATAATATTTGTTCTTAAATTTTTTCAAACTATTTTTGCTAATATATAAAACAGAATTATTTTTACACTTGATTTCATATATAGTGATATTCTTGGAATGATTTAGTCATTATAATTTTTTATTTTTTTAGTTATTTTGTTTTTTAACTAATAATACATAAATGCTGTGGATTTTCTATGCACATACTTTATTTTCTATATACTTTGTGACAGTTTTATTTTTTAAAATATTTATGCGTCTGAAATGCTTTATCACATTTACTGTTGAGTACCCCAGAAAAACACAAGTAAAAACATTCATAGAAGGAATTATAATGTTAGTATTTTAGAGAAATAACTTCCAATATTTCACCATTAAACTTGAAATTTTCTATAGATTGTGTGGATATCCCACTTCAAATTACTTAGTTCTCTTTTAATGCCTAATAAAAATTTTTAATCAGGAATGGGAGTTGAATTTTACCAAATAGGACAGGTTCATATTTTAATTTTTAAATTATTGTGGAAGATTACATTCACTCTCAGTAAAAAGGAAAATGTTCTAGGGAAAATATCAGTGTGGTTTTGGTCATCTTTTCTATATATGTATGGTTCAGTTTGACAATATTCTGCCTTAGAATTTTTATCTCTGTTTAGAAGAATTATTCATCTACAGTTTTCCTTCTTATCATGTCTGTATAATATTTTTGGTATCAAAATATTGTTACTTAATCAAAATTTAATAAATATTCCCTTTTCTTAAGTGTCAGCATTATCATGATGTTCTTATGGAAAGATACTTAATATTTAAAAAAAAAATCTCTGTGTTTTTGCTGCTTGAGGAATACACTTTTCTTACAGAAAATTTACAAAGTACAGAAATATAGAAAGAAAAAGCAAAAAGTCAGCATAAGAGTGATATGTAAATTTTGAAAGAAGTCAGTAAGAAAGCCATCTGAGCCTGGATTTGAAAGAGAAGACTTTTATTTTCTGGTCAAAAATACATAATATATGAAGAATCACTCAGATCTTCCATATTTTTTTTACAATATTTTAAGAAGTTTGTGTTGTTTATTAACTTGTGTATTTTCTGTACACTTATAAATTATATAAAATTTAATTAGCATTAGCATAAGGTGTGTATAATTCTGGTTAACTTAGTATCTGTAGTATGTATAAATTTATGTACTTTTCTTTGCTGATACTAATACCTGATATTTTTTCTCATAAGCACTCTTTAAAGAGTTTATTGCTTTTATCAATTTTTTCAGTTAACCAAAGTATTGTTTTCTTTATAATTTTACCTCTTAATATTTTATCTTTTATTTATTTTGGCACAGTATACAGTGGTACATTGGCTCACAAACATTTTTATTTGCAAACAGTTTAGTTCACAAACAGAAGTGTTTGGCAAAATTTTGTTTGTGTTAGAATCAGGTGACAAGCATGACTGTGGCCATCTTTTGCACAGAAACACAGAGGGGCCACCTTTTCCAAAATTGTAGAACAATTTAAGTTTGTTTGTTTGTTTGTTTTCTGGTACCAAGAATTGAACGCATGACCTCATGCTTGCCAGGCAGGTGCTGTGCCGCTGAGCTAAATCCCCTGCCCCAAAGTTTGTGAATTGAGGTGCCACTGTACATTTTGGCATAAATATTTAGATATTTGATTTTTATTATTTTATTACATCATTAATTTTTAGTCTTAATTTCTTTTCTGGAAATCACACACACACACACACACATACACACACACACACACACAAGATGATGATTTCACCAACAGAGTGTTCAGTATTTTTCTCTGCTAGCCAGAAAAGGAGAGAGATTGGTCACCTTCCTCAAATCAGAGACTGAGCTGGGTTGAGACTGCAGTGGAAATGATGAAGACTTCATTTACCTTTATTTCTTTTCTATTCCATGGGCTTAATCCTCCAGAGCCATAGCTTTTAGTATCTGTGGCTTCATATCTTTCATCTACTTAAAGAAATAGTCTTGGCATGGCTTAACTCAGAGATGACCTTCCACCCTATTTGCTGCCTCTTCTCTTTTTGAAACTTCAGTTACACATAGGTCCATATCTTTTCATTATCCCTAATTTATCTTTTGCATTCCTTTCCTGCACACATTTTTCATTCCATCTCTTCTCCATATCATGGTTGCATTGTCTGTACTAATGTGAACAGGAATTCTTTTTTTAAACTGTGTTCTATCTGGTATTAAGTGCATACACTTAGTTCTTAAATTGAGAAAAATTGTATTCTTTCCTTTACAGGACTTCTACTTCCTTTTTTTATAGTGCTGGGAATTGAACCCAGGGCCTTGCTTACACTAAGCAAATACTGTACCAATAAGCAACTTTCTCTGCCCTTTATTTCACAAGTATTCTAATTTTCTAAAAACTTTCTTCAAGTTTTTTATTACTTGTTGATCATAATAGTTTCAGGTTTTTAAAATTCTTTATTTGATAGCTACTTAGTTTTTATTCTTGGCTATACTTCTTGGTATGCCTGTTAAATATGGAAACATGTACACATGAAGACTGCAAAAGAATCAGATCCTGCTGTTTCTCTCTCTATTCATGTTTCATGTATTTTGTGGCAGGAAGCGTAGGTCTTATTTCAATAAGAGACTGGACTGCTTTGAGTAAGGATTCTAGACATTTAAAGTCTTGGTCTGTAACTGGATCACCCCCACTACATGGGCATGGCTCTCAGAGATTCTGATTGAGAGCCTGAGATTATTTTTGACGGTCTCTTTTCATTAATGGATGCTGAACTCTAATTTTTGTCCTTCTAATAATG